TTAGGACAAGGGTAAGAGTTCAATTATGAAGTAATATAAGGTTATTATTAGAGATAATTGATCATCCTTGGTATTTTCATATTTACAAAGCAGTAATCCGTTTCAAAATCCAATGTTCAGACAGGAGGATGTTATTTGATATCTGTTGATGAGAGCCACAACTGTGTTAACTCTTTGTAAAAGTAATTTTTAACAGATTTAATTTCCTTCTGGCTCTCCAGAGACAACATCATCTATTAACAAAACAGCAACAACAAGAAAAAAAGACACTTGTTCGCTTTCGATGAATCTGCACCACTCAACCTTTCTGACTCACACTGCATGGGAGCCGATACCTGTCTTTAGTCAGTAGTCAGACTCGGTAGTAAACATTAATCAGCTCACCTTTCTCTCAAAATGGCGAACATCCCCCCTAAGTGAGGGGCTCAGGAGGAAGTTACTTGATAGATTTCCCCTCCTCTGTAATTCCCCACGCCCTTGACATTTATCGGTTTCCCTGGCTGTCAACCAGAGATGATATTAAATCAGAAATAAAAACTGATGTTAAGTCAGAAAAGAGGATGTTGTTGCCTTCCATCTGCTTCAACGTCTTCCATGTCGCTTATTTTCTGTATAACGTGATTATGAATACCACCTACGAATTTCTTTGATTTTAGTATTTTTACTTATCAAATTTATGATGTGATTATTCAAGTGGCCCCCATATATATATATATAGTTATTTCCTTTTGTAAATCTTGAACTCAAATACCCCTCCAAATCTTTATGCAATAATCTAACTATTGATATCATAATGTGATCATTTATTAAAGGGGCCTACCGGGTATGTAAATTTACTCATAACATAATGTGAAATTTGAATTTCAATGAACATATTTTCAATATTTTGTTGTTCCTTAAAAGCAATCTCCATCAGGGAAAGCCTGAGCCTTGCTAAGTATGTGATCACACAAATCTTCAAGGACCTTGTTTGTCATTTTAAAAGTTTCATATCCATACGCGAACACCAATCCTAAACACTTAGTTACCCAATATACCCCCTTCCCAATCCCTTTTTGTCCAACTTGTTAACATGTTTTATTCACACTATTGTTGCAATTCTCAATAAGCAGGGGTATTATTCCATCTAATTGTCCCCTAAACTCATTCTAAATTTGCCCAAGCCCCCTCTCTGGGCAAACAAATCAGGACAAACATGGCCTTATGCAAGTCAAACCAGTTAGAAAGAGCAGGAATTATTTGGAAAGTGTAAAGAGAAGAAAGAACAACTTGGTACTTTGTGTGCATTTCTGTGAAACTTGGCTCACATCTGCCTGCAGTTGTGTATTACAAGCCATTTAAAAAATGATGGACACAAGAGTTGTAAATAAAGGGGAAAAAACTGGGCTCTTTCTTTCTAAAAATAGAACTTTCTTTAAACACAATTGAAGGTTGTCTTGTGTTGTGGTAAACTATGAGAAATTTTAAAGAGTACATGTGGTTGTCCAGGTACAAGTTACTCCTGAGGATACAGAAAATGGCAACAATTTTTTTTTAAAAATGTTTATTACTTTGAAAATTGTCCTAGGGGGGAAGGGGGTTGCCCCTTAAATTGCCTCATGGGAGTTGTCCCGAAATTCCGCCATTGATTTCTGCGTACTCCCCTTTTTTCAGATTCCTCATTTTCCTGCTGATCTGTCCAACTAATTTAATGATTATCAGCATATATATCAAATCCATGTCTTTTGCAATTTTAATGGGAGATTTTCTTTTATGCAAAGAAAACCATCTAACTGAATGCAACTTTAAAAGGAGATGCATGTTATATAATTAGATCCATCTTATATAATTAGATCCAATCTTTTATATCTCCAATAGATCTATTTTTAAAAGGTATTCAGCTGAAGTAAGTAGTGCTATTTGTCACAAAATAGAGTATACGGGTGAGTTTTTTAAAGAGGGTTAAGAGAGGACTAGGAGGATATTGTTGTGCTAGGTGCTCTTTTAGAACCCTATTTGTATTGTTTGAATGTTTAGGATTGTAATGGGGGGTATACAACATGTGGTTGCTAAGCGAAAGGGGTATTAAGTGCACTATTGGTCCTGCCTGCCTCCAAAGCCTGAAGCAGTACTTGATGATGATGATGATGATGATGACTGTTTCGAGATTAGTTCTTGATATGTGATAGCTTGTAGAACCTTACAAGTGAAAGAGACTTGTAATGCTGGCTAATATATGAGATTTGTTGTGTACCAGCTATCGCAATAGTTAATCATGATACTATTCAATTACACAATGGCACATGTGAATGTACGTCACACCAGTTCATCAGGATTCCCGCAAGAAAGGGAAAAGATCAACAAAACGCAAAATGGAGGATTACGGTGTCTTAGAGTGTTGGTTTTATACTGCACTATTAGACAATGTACAAATGAAAAGTTGGGGCTCTCAATAGAGGCTAAGTTTAGATATGACTGGGCGTCAATGGGAAAGGATTTGTGATTACATCAGTTGTATGAGATCTGCAAGTGGCTAATTGATTTGTTCTGCTGGCAATACAGTTGACCAGTTATCTTTACTTTCTTTTTACTCCTGTTCCTAATTCTAAGAACCCTTTGCCTCCCTCTCTCTCCCTCCCTCTCTCTATTTCTTTCCTCACTATATCCCCATCTTTCCCTATTTCTATCGCTCACTATTTCCCCCATTATCTCAAGTTGTCCTTCTGTCTTTGTGTACCTTTATTTCCTCAATCTACTTATCTTTCTTTCTTTCTGTTGCTCTTCATTTCTCTCTCCTTCCACAAATATCTACCTTATTCCTTTTCTTTAAATTCTGTCTTTCCTGAAGTAGAATTGACGTAGGGGGTGAAAGGCGTGTCACTATTTGAGTATCAGCTTTTTCCCCAAGTCCTTGAGTTTTCTCAACAAGCTCTGACCATGTTTGTTGATAGCTTACGTAAGAATTGAAAGGTCTGGCCTTGGTTGATATAGGCCTAGACCCGATTAATGTAGCCCTACATTCAAAAGCTGATATTTAAGACTCCATATGCATTGCTGTGGTAAATACAGTACTCCTATTTGAATAAAACAGTGTTATTTATTTAGAGTAACTTACCTGGGTAAAATGAAAATCTTGAAATGTTTAAACATTGTATCTAGGGAAGATTTTACCCGAGACGGAATGTTTTTATGTGGAAATGGGGAATGAATACCGGTAAGCATTTTGATAGAAACAAAATTACCTGGTATCTCAAATATTGACATTTGCCCATCAAACCTATTGCTGTGTACATTCATCTCCAACCTAAAAACCCTATTTTTGTGATGATAATAGACACAAGAAGTCTGATCTAGATATAGCACAAGTATTGAAATAAGTAGTAAAGTAAGAAAGGAACTTACAGATATATATGCAAGTAAGAAAGTTAATTAAAAATGGGTTCAAATATTGTTTCCTTGATACTTATACCTCTGATATTTGGAATTTCTTCAAGGTTCCCACAATGTACGGTCTACTGCAAGGATAAAGATATCCACATATCTATTTCAAGCTATTAGAGGGAGGGTCAATTGTATAATATGACGGCTACCTACACATGCATCAATTGACCATAATCTACTTATAAATTGATTTATATGATATGGTGATATGATTTGTATCCCTTCTACAAACAAGCAATTTCATCCCCTTGTTTTGATATTCCTTAATTTGTCCTCTTGGTCACTTTTATTGGCTCCATATGGGCTTTTCTGCTGTCATGACCCATCCGCAACGCACCGTAATATAAACAGGGAGTCGCCACTGAAATGCTCCAAATAGTACCGGTCACTTCTCCGGCCAATCCCGGCCGGGGCGGCAGTGTCCTTCCGTCCACTTAACTTTCCGACCAGAGACATGTCATCGCTATCATGAGATAAGGGATAAACCTTGGAGAAAGAAATCAAATAAGTTCAGTTTCTCTCCAGTCTGTCCTCGTGTTAAATGAGAGTTTCTGTGCTCTAGATAGCTTCCAGATGTACGCAGGTCAGTCGACCATTTTAGACCAGATATCATTGTCATCATTGTTTCTAAAAAACAACAATAAGAGAACGGAGAGTGAAAAAGTAGCGGTTGGTATTGAGGAAGTCCTGAGATGGAGTTTAAGAAATTGATGTTGAAGGACTTTACAGTGTGTCTAGAGCGGCTGATATCCATGTAATATCTGTTGAAGTATGAAAGATATTAAAAGGAATTTTAATGTGTAACTCTATAGTTACATGAAAGATTCGAACTATATAGTAACTATAAAAACAATCGAAAAATGCTGATTAGCTGAAGTAAGTTCTGAGTGCTTCAATCTTCAAACAGTGCACATTTTTTTCTATGAGCAGGTAGGCCTATAGGACAACTCCATTTGTATAGGTCGAAGTGGAGAGAAAAACCAATATAGAGTTTTATGCCTATCACAAACCTGATCTTGCTCTCAATTCATACATGAAATATGAAATACAGATGAGGAATAACTCGGAACCCCTTTGTGGTTCCTTCCCCATCTATATCTTCACCCTCAACCACTTAGCCTACCTGTCTACACCCGGACTAACAAGTTGTTACTGTACTAGAACCGACTGTGGTCTCAAGTGGAGTCGGTAATTGCTTACACTTGAACCTCTTTGGGACACAGTTTGACCCCGGCTGGACACTAGAGGGGGTCAAGATGACCACCGGACACGAGATGGACAGAATGACCTTAACCTAGGGATGACCATCTACATGTGTACTTCCAAAATGTTTTACAAGTTTTTAAAATATTTTCAGATATAAAATGTTTTCAAATCGTTCAACTACAAATTATTTTGGGATATTTCAGAATGTTTTGTCTTACCAGTAAAAAATTGCATGTCCTGATATTTAATGGTTTTGGATTTGTACTTTCAGCTCCATCCATTATATTTATGTTTTTAAAAATGTTACAACTGTTCTAGATAAGACTAGTTTTATGGCATTGCGTTGATTTTTCAAGACCATTTCAGTAACCCTTCCCCTCATTGGTCAATTCCATTGCAGGCGGCAACACCTTGGCCAATCAGCCATTCCGTCTTAACTGGTCATGGATCTCACTGGAGAGGGAGTACTACGAAGTGAACGAGACCGAGCGATACCTCAACATCAAGCTCGTCCGACGTGGATACCTGGGAGAAACCTCATTTGTTGGTAAGTTATATTAAAAACATTTTTACGATAAATTTGATTACCGGTAAGATGGGCAGATGTAAAACAACAACTCAATGTCTGTGACACACTAAGCTTTACACTGAGACAATTGTTTGATGAATCAAATTGAATCAAAATCAAAATCATTCTAAACAGGAAAATCAAGAGGAACTGTAAATACATATTTTTGTGTATCATTGGAACATACATTAATCTTGCATTATAATGTATCCGTACAGGCATCCAGACCGCTGACGCTACCGCCGTCGCTGATGAAGATTTCCGTGGCAAGTCCGCCCGCCAGGTGCAGTTCAACCCCGGCCAGACCGAAGGATTCTGGCGAGTCCGTATCCTCAATGACCGTCTCTTCGAGCAAGCCGAGGTGTTTGAGATCATCCTCCACGACCCTGTGATGGGCGCCCTGGAGTATCCCTACAATGCAGTTGTGACGATCTTTGATGCTGAAGATGGTAAGTGATGGTGGTGACGATGATGATAATGATTAGGATGATGATGATTAGGGTGGTGATGATGAGGGTGATATTGATAATGATGAGGGTGATGATTATAAGGATGAAGATATTGATGAGAAGAATGAAGGAAAATGATAATAGCTTTATCTGAAGTAATTATCAGATTTACTCTCGAGTATGTAGAGGTGGACATATAGACTCAGATATTGATGAGACGAAGGGAAGGTATGGAGGGGTGGAGGCAGTTGGTTCTATGCAATATTCAGTAGATTTATGAAAAGGCTTGATGCTTTTCTAAAGGCTGTTTGTAATTTGTCTTGGTGCATTACATTCATAGAAGTTAACAACAATGTACAGAAAATGGAAACCCATCTACGTTTTGGCTTTTTGTATGTGAAGTGTTTCAAATCCCATTTGGATAAGCCTTCCATTCTGGCTTCCTGCTACAGTAGCAGCCTCGGTGTTAAGTCCTGTGATTTATGCAGGCCGAGCTGTCGGCCCAGTGTAAAGTCAAGAGTCAGATAGGATTAAACCCATGCAAATGCAGCCGAAAGGGAATGGGAGTATTAGGGGGAGAATTCTCAGTATTTGAAAATGCTGTGGCATTCTGTACCTTGATTTAGTGAAAAAATACAGAGATGTCCCAAAGGAAGGAATATTGAAATGAAGATATGTAGGATAAAGAAAGAGCAAGAGAGAGAAAGAGAGAGAGATAGAGGGGAGGGAGCTGGAGGGGGAGGGGGATCAGGATTGAAATGGTATTGAAACAATGCAAGTCCGATATTATTTGATTTCAATTGCCTTCAAAAGGTGCCATGGACATGAATATGACAAACATAGAATAAAACACCCTTTGCTTGAAAAGAAAGCGAAATAGTGAGGCAAAGATGTTTGAAAGTAATAGGCTTACTGTGTAAGATTACATTATAAAATACCTCGGAAACTCTCAGGTATGTAAGCAATCCAGATTGGACTCTTTGAATAGCTACATTTCTAATAATCAGCTGCCAAAAGTGCAGGTTTGGGAGGGGGAGAAAGTAATTCTTAAGCTGTAATGGGCCTTTTTATTAACTTCTGACAAAGGTAATTGTAAATAGAACTGGACTACCATCTCATGCATGATGGAGCCAGTATGGATTCAATAAGCAAAGCTGAACCATCTTAACGGTTCTTGGTCTAAAAGACAATCCAAATCCTGGCCCCAAGGAGGTAATTGATTACTATTAAAATAAGACCATCTTTCTGAATAGAGGGATAGATGCAGAGAATTAAAGAAGATGAAAAGACTTGTTGGTCCTGTTGTGGATGCAAAGATATTGAGACCGAATTTATTAATCACCTTTTAGGTACTGATGGACAGATGAAAGAGAGAATTAAAAGGAATTTTAGTGCATCACTGGATGTATTGATGGTGGTTATCTTTGGTGGATTGGGGCCTTATGAATGGAAGATGAGATTTAAGCCCCAGTCCCATATAAAGCTGGACCAGCACGGACGAGCACGGACCACTCCGGACCATCCCGGACCATGGTCTGGGGTGATCCGGGATGGTCCGGGATGTTTTGTTAAAAAAAGTGTGATGCTTTAAAGCTACAGTCCCATATACGTCCCGGACCGTCCCGGACCATCCCGGACCCCATCCGGGGTGATCCGGGATTCGGTCCGTGTTGACACCGTGTTGGCACCGGGGTGGTCCTGGATGGTCCTGGATGGTCCTGGATGGTCCTGGGCGGTCAATAACTCACTCCCGGACTGCCACGGATCAACACGGACCGCCCCGGCGCCACTACGGATGACCCCGGACCCAGCACGGTGGCTACACGGATCACCCCGGATCAAACTATTGTCCCAGACCGTCCCGGACCACCCCGGCAGTTTTTGACCGTCAAAAACATCCGGGGTCGACTCCCGGACCGCCCAGGACCATCCAGGACCATCCAGGACCATCCAGGACCACCCCGGTGCCAACACGGTGTCAACACGGACCGAATCCCGGATCACCCCGGATGGGGTCCGGGATGGTCCGGGACGGTCCGGGACGTATATGGGACTGTAGCTTAAGAGGAGTGGTGGTGATGGTGACTTGATACTTGTGGTGTTAATGATGATGATGATTTTGGTGTTATAGGACATGATGGTGATTATCGTATTGATGGTAATGATGGTATTGGTATTGGTATTGAGGTGGTGAAGTGATGAAATTATTATGATGATGATGAATATGATGGTGGTGATTATGACAATTTTAGGATGACAGTGATGATTAAGATGGTGAAGATGATGATTAGGGAAGGGTAAAGAATGGTATTTGTTATTGTCATGTGGAGGAATGATAAATGATATGGAAGGGATAGTTCATGTTAATACTTAAAGAATTATGAAATGAAGAATAAACAAAAACACAGAAAACGCTTTTAAAGCAGAACTTGTCATTAAAAAAGTTTCGAAGAAACAGCTACTATATGACCCCTGGGTGACCGAGAAGGGTAACTTAGGGCAAAAACTGTCTTCATTTCTTGACTGACCTAAAATCATGAATGTGTAACATAATTCCATTGACATAGCTTCTTTATTTCAATATTGTCTGGTAATAGAAATCTGATAGGTTGGATGGCTTCTATAATAACATCACAAAAATTATTAGTCTGCAGGGAAATCAGGAAAGGATGAAATGTGGAGTCATGTGGAAAGATTGTCCCTGTTCTAGGGGTTCAGTGCCCTTTAGGTACATTTCCTATGCAAAGAGAATTGGAGTAGAAACCGGTTGAAAGCATATTAAATGTTTTATGTTCATGTACAGGCTGGGAGGAAATCAAGAACATGGTCATAAAGTCTAAAGTAGAATGTTGCCCAAGATGATGCTTGTCAAAATAGGTTAGGAAAGGGGAGGGGTTGGATTTCAGAAAGAAAAAATAGATGCCAGCTGTTATAACCTAAAACAATATTAGCTAAAATCTCATTGATTGGTGAAAGGGGAACATTAAAACAGAGTTCAAGAACCTGGTTCTAAGAAGAAAAAAGGAAAAAGGAAAAAAGAAGTTTGTTCTTGTCAAAATTTGCCTCTAGTGCATGTTTAGAGAGGGATTTTTGGATGGAGTACTTCTTTTCGGAGTAAAATTCAAATAAACAAAATGAGATGAAGGGAAATATGCAAGGAATGTCCACATTTTATGAGTGAAATGTGCATTTTTTATGGGAAAAATGTACCAGAAAATATACTATCTGAGATTTTATTTCTGAAATTCTGACAAAGGACTACTCAATGGAATTACAAAGAAGATTAAAGATTAATGAAGATATCTTAATCACCTTATACTGAGCTTTTAATCCAAATCTTTATTAGGAAGCCAGGTAGTGTAGATGTTAAATTCCTTCCAAGGTTTACAAACTGAGCTAGTTGTGTTATTTTCAAGGTGTAAGATGCTTAGTAGCAATACTTTGTGCATGTAGATGATAATACCAAATAGTGATAAATTGAGCATAAATAAGGGATTAATAGAATTAATAACCATATCAAAGTAGAAATGACTTCCTTTTAATGATAAAAAAGAGAAGACCACCACCACCCCTCTCTAAAAAAGGAGACAATCTGCCTTCCATCAAAAATAATTTGGTTGATTTATTTTGTCTCAATTATGCCAGTAGTTCTCTATGTGGCGCCCTCAGACCCTACATGCATGTATATGTCCGAGAAACAAGAAACAAAATAGACGTTTTGAGGAAACTTTTGCGGGATACCTTTTAAATATTCAAACTTCTAGAAGACCCCCACATTACTTGAAGTGCCCTCTATCTTTTGACCCCCTTTTCCAGTTCTCTTACACAAATTTTTGAGTAGCTTACCATCCCGTCTTACAAAAATTGTGCTGGATTCTCACGTCCTGAAATAATTAGGAAGTGATTTGATTTGACGAGTCGACAAGTGAGGCTCTTGTCTGTGATGAATTGGGGATTATCGCACCTAAAGTACCAAGGACTTTTTCAGAGGGGTTACAAGTTGACTGCCGATTGTCCTAATGGAATATCCAGGCTCCTTATTATACCCATCTTATATCAAGGTGGATATGCAAAAGTGATGAGAGTAGATTAGTTTAGTTTAGGACATTACGGACACAAACGTCTGTCTGATAATACAGAGAAATCGTTCAATCAGGAGCCAAATTGGCAACATTACTGCCACTTTGGTCTTCTTTGAGAGTAATGTTACAATGCCATTGCAAAAGAAAGTGAAGTAGGCATTGGCAATATGGTGTAGCAAATGAGAAAGTAGCAAACTGATGAAGTCTTACAATGTGAAAATTTGAACTTTGTACTAAATTCAGAAATATAAAGGTTTATTCATGATATTCAGTTTAAACATTGTCTTGCAAAACTATCCTTGAGGGGTCAGTTAGGAGTACATATAATGCAGCTGAACAATCAAAAGAAAAATTTATGTTAAATGTTTCAAGCTCTTTGGTTGTTGTAAATGAAGCGAATTTTACTTTCTTCTTGAGCAGTTGACATTCATAGGTGTCATTCAGAAAGGTGCAAGGATTTTGTCTAGGAAACTTTTTTGGGGGTATGATCTAGGTTAATAACGATGACCATGAACAGATGGATGAATATTGTTTGTTCAACTCCACCATTGTGACTGCTACCTTTACCAGCGTGTAACAAAGAAAGTATGAAAACTATCACGGATGATGAGTAAAATCAGTTGAGCCTAGCCATTTGGAAAACATTGTCTTTGTGCATCACTGGGTTTGGTTTATTGCTTAACTGCATATTTGTTTAAAATCTTTAAATATTCAGTGAATATGAATTCACAAGTGAAGGATTATAGAAGGCTGTTTGAAACTTTTCGGTTTTCAATGAATTTTTTCTTGAATACCATACCTTTTTCCGAAACCACATGCCAGCACTGAACTTGCACTGTCCCTACATTGGTAACCTCAATATATCTGTTTGGAGCCAGACTATTGTTCAGACTATTTTTATGTCTAAAGATTTTAAAGATAAGAACAAGGTGCGATGGTGATTCAAATGTACATAATGATCATGAAGTGACAATTGTGATGATAGTAGTAGTAGTAGTGATGATGATAGTTGTGATGATAATGGTGTTGAGGATGATGATAATGATGGTGGTGTTGATGATGACAATGACAATTATTTTTATGGTAATAGTGAGATGGTGGTAGTGGCAGTGATGATGAGAACTTAACTCCAAAATGGAGCATGCCTGATTGATTTTAAGAAAGAAAGAAATCCACAGAGAAAGAGGATTTCAAATATATCTCTCAAATATATCTTAACCTGTCCATGTTCTATTCATTTTTTTCCTCCAGAATCTGGTGTATTCATTGACCTCCCAGACAACTACGTCATCGAAGAAGACATCGGAGAGTTCCTGGTCCCCATCAGGCGTACAGGAGATCTCTCACAAGAACTAATGGCCAGCTGCTCCACCATGCCAGGTAAACAAACAAACAAACAAACAAATAAATGATGCAAATATATGTTAAAAGTAGCAATGCATCCATAATCCCATTTCTCAGGTAGTTATTGTTCAGTAAGGCACTTCTTCAAAAGTGCAGCTTGCATATACCCACAGTTTGAAACCAGTTTTATTACCACTAAATAAAGGACTAGGATAAGTAGAAATGGATTTAAAAAAAGTGATATAGGAGTTTGGTGCAGTATTTTTGGCCCTTATCACATTCCTACGACTTCAGTTAAATAATGATATGTTTACAGGTATTGTTTTTGAGCAAGTATTTTCTCTCTGCAGCCAGCATCTGCAGAACTTGGTTCAATGCACTCGCTCAACCAGTAACTCAAAGAAGTCATTCACCCCATCATTTTCTATAGAGGTGAATCTTGAAAACTGCACTGTTACATCACAATCCTATCCCAGCAAAGCAGTAAATCAGCCATTACACTCCCTTTTAATCTCCAACTCCAAATGATTAAGGGGGTTTCGTAATCACCCCCTCAATAATCACCCCCTCAATAATCCCCCCTCAAAAAGGACAGACTACTGTTTGAGATTTAAAAGCAGGAGCCCTACTAAAATCTTACATAAACAAGTCAATATCCCTTCAAAATTTCTTTAATTCAATGGTAACTTGAGTAAATGTAGCCTAAATAAACATCTAAATAAACCTATTGTGATCATGTGTTTAGTTCCTCCACTCTGAAAATCAATGTAATATATGTTTTAAGTGCTGAAAATTTCAGACCCCTTGTTTCATATTTGTGAGCACCAGGCCAGCTAAAATCTTCTTTAATAGGTCAATAGCACTCTAAATCCATCCCAATTATTGTGAAATAGAGGAAGTTTAGCTTTGCCTGCATGAACATCTTTAGAATCTGTCAATAGGAGGATAAATCTTTATTTTTGGTTTTGGACTTAGAAAATCAATTAAATGATAGGTTTAAGTACTTTAGGTGGAGTTTAACCCTACTTTACCATCTTAAACATTGATTATCAGGGTTTGTTTCCTCCAAATGAAAGCTCCTTTTTTTTCTCCATTGCACAAGCAACTTGACTTGCCAATGCCATGGTCTGTTAGTTGGGTTTTTCTTGCTCTTTTTAAGTCGGGGCTTTGATGAGCCGATATTTGGAGACTGGATGGTTTCAAAAGAACAACAATAAGCTGAAAAATGTAGATATTTGTGGGGGGGGGGGGGGGGTGCAAGGAAACTTACAATATTTTGTCATCCAAAGACTCTATTCTTCATATTCAATCTACCATAGATCTTAAGGATTCTGTATAATAAAGCGCCATATTGTTACCCTGATAATCTTCTGGCAGTATCAGAGACATGTCTTAACTGTTAAGCAAAGATCATCCCCCTTTTCACCCTTGAAAGATAAAGATGAAGGAGAAATAGCTACATATTTTGTTACATTTAAGCAAAAATAACTCTTTCATTTCTTTATCTGCTATTCTCTCTATTCCCTTCATGATTCCAGGCTCTGCCACCGGATCTGACCCATCTCCCGTCCTCACCTTCTCCGACTACATCAGTCGAATGGAGGAGGACCCCGACAACATGGTCGCCTTCGACAAGGGAGAGGACCTCGCCTACTGCCGTATCCTGATCATCGATGACTCCCTCTACGAGGAGGACGAGACCTTCCAGGTCAAGCTCAGCAACCCTATGGGCGGCAGGATCGGAAGCCCCTCATCGATCAACGTCATCATTTCCGGTGATTCCGATGATGGTAAGTACCTGCATGGAAATTTTCTACAAGTTGTGTGGTTTGAAAAATATGAATTTGATATACACCATGTAATCCCACTTTACCAATGTACATGTGGATCATGAAAACATAAATACAAACAAGAAAAACAAGTTTTACATCGATTGATATACAGACATGAAATCTCAGATACTTTATGGCAAAGAGCTTTTATTATAAATAATCACGACACAAACTGATTTGAATAAAAATTTGTGAATATAATAAACTCGTCAAGACAGAATATCTTTCCATCATTTCATTTTATTATGACACGCATCTACATAGACTTAAAAAAAAATATAAGCTTTCTACATCGAAAAAGCAATTCTTATAACATGTTCTCAACAAATGAATTCAGGTTGTTGGGAGTCAGAAATCATCACACATGTTAACATTTTCATGATGGAACATGATTCCACATTCATAGGATAAAGGTCTTCACCAAGGTGTTGAGAGATCTAGTTTAATCGCGAAAAGTGTTTTTAGGGAAAAACCATAAAAACATGGGTCTCTTTCATGGGGCAATCTTTACCCTTCCAACCTGCTCTCCAAATCAAGACCAGGCCTACATCAGGCATTGGATCCTGACTCGCCATGACAACATAACACAAGCCACATGTTGGAGGACAACATTCATGTTGTGTCGAGGCCCTCGTGTGTCACGATTCCACCTACGGCAGCCTGCAATGCTCAACGTGGGGTTGTCAAAATATGAGTCGGCCACCGCTCATGACACAGGATGGGGATAATTAGACCGACGCGCTCACAGCGTTATGAGTCCAACATGGATTTGGTTTGAGGTGCTGTGCAGCATACAGGCCCCCAATATTAATTACAAGTAGTATACACTCGGAACAAGAACATGTCTTATGGATAACAATGGATCACAAAAATGTATTAATTACATATACGTAGCTACACTGAAAAGTCCTATCTAAAGCCCCCAAAACTGAAGAAAAAAAAGAAAGGTATAATTGTAAAACTTTGATTTAGCATTTGATAGAAATAGGTCATCCATTAAAAAGAGTGCTTGGAATTTGAAAAGAACTAGCAAAAAGTTTGAATTGGAACATTTAATATGGAGTCAATAAAATTCAGATGTACTTCTGCCATTCTTTGCCCACAAGAAAAAGATTGAAAAAAAAATTGAAAAAAAATTGTAGGTTAGAGGTGATGAAAGTTTGAAACTCGTTGCCACAATCTAGCTTTCCCTGACATTCACTTATTACAGAAAGTGTTTCTAATTTGGGCTTTATGACAAAGAAGGGAATTCTACGTCGGGGATAATCCCTTGCCGCCAGTGACCCTCTAATGCTTCCCCCATCAGAAAGCCATTGTTGTTCACTCATATCAATCCGTGTGTATTTCATGGTCGGCCACAAGTCTAGGTGCATTATCAACCCCCTTCCCCCCCTGTCATGAAGTTTGATTTTGGAAGGCGAAGTTGAGTGACCGACAGTCGCAAAGAATAGAGGCCTGATATTAAAACTTATGCCCCACAAGCCTTGTGGGATTGACTTACATGATTCATAAAAAAGCAATTTGATAAATGTCCCCCTAGTATAAACAAAATTGACAATTTCCACATTTTTGTGGGTTTTAATCTGTTGGTTAATCAGTGAAATGTGATCGCTCTCACTGTATAGTGTATAAATAGGCTGAAAATATGACACTTGCCTGAAGTAAAATGATTCTATAAAAAATTCTCCAGAAAATGCTCTCATTCTTTTGATCTCAAAGGGGCATGTAACTTCTAAGAAAGGTCATTTAAGCTGATGTGGAGTAATTGATTTATAGGATGTTAAAAAACTTTTATGATCCCAAAATGTAGCATTTGTTGCTTGTTTGTAGCCAGATTACCGGCTTATGTATTTTAAACTTGAAAGAGAAAAGCCGCTGGTCATGATTAAGAGTGGCTGAGCCCCAGACACAAAATCCCAGATTTAGCCATAAAGCCCCTCCCCCCCCCCCCCATGACCTGACACAAATTGTAATGTGACAGCTATATCGAGAGTGCCCTATGAATATGGCTACAATATCTGCCGAGATTGTGAAGGGCGTTTATAGCACATTACAAAGATCCTAAGACCCTCCTAACTCTTAGCAGATAGGTAAAAAGATTTATTTATTTTAAAAAATGAACAGTGAATTCCAGCACTCTCCAAACATACTAGAAGCTATTAAAATCATTCACACAATTATCACAAATGATGAAATAAATAGGATAAAGACCCACAGCAAGAATTAAAAAAAAATAAAGGTACAAAAATGACATAAATAATCCATCCCTCCTCAAAAGTAAATGTTCAAATTGTTATTTCTATTACAAAAAAATTCATTTGGAACAGCTACAACATTTATACAGAGCCATGCACTTCCTGCGTGTACTAAGCTAAGGCAACAATATCATGGAGCTACAATAACCCACACATGTATGCTTTCTGGTCTGGGGATAACACATGAATCCATCATCAGCTCCAGCTCTGTGTATTACCTAGAGAACATGAACTCCCATACCTCTCCTTATTGTTTATTTTCATGCTGTCTATTCAGTTAATGGGCCAGACACCCTTCCCACCCTCATGGCTTGAGCCCCTCAGGTCATTCCTCAGAGGTGAAAGGTCATAGGAGGTCATTTGGTAGCTCTTCATTTTCCAGTTGGGTTCATGACATAAAAGAATATGGTGTATAAAGAATAGGCAAATATGATACAAAAGGGTATTATCTATTGAAACATTCTGATGAAAATAAATTCAGCACAAAATTAAATCAGTTAACTGTCATTTTGACACTTCGTTCATTCATTATTTGTACAAATCAGAGTTATCATCACAGCTTCACAAATAGCTGATCTTTGTTTTTGCTCCCCAAATAACTACGCTTGTCCTGACGAAAACCTCCCTGTCAAGTTGGTGACAAAAGTTGGCATCAGCGGTCGCATGCCGGTGATGACTGCATGAATAACAAGCATATGATATCCAAATCGAGTCGCAGACAGATGAAGAGAAGAAAAGAAAGGAAGAACCACAAAAGGAAAGAGCGTGTGAGCGAAAGCTAACAAATTACAAAAGGTCAAAAATGAGGAGAAAAAACGTGCATGCAGTGGTCAATAGTAAAACATCCTTGTACATTTCCCCTCCCCAAATTACCCAGTTAATTCAAGGTAAATGTATTTAACTCAGAGAGTTAATGAATAGATGAAAGGGATTGCTTGCATTTAGCCCTTTTCTTCTAAAGCCCTATTTAGGAATGGAATTACTGAATCACAGGAAGCAATAATATTTCCCTTTCGGCTTCTGGAGGTTTCTTTTGCAGACTCAAAAAGAAAATAGATCAATAAAATGAAATAATGAGTCACACTTCTTTGTAGAGAAAAACTCAAATTACCAGAACACTTAAAATAACTTAGTGTACAGATAAATGAATTTATTCATCAGTTAAAGATTTTATGATAAAAATCATGAATGTTTGAAGTGATTGATTAAGATAATTCTGCAACTGGTCAGTCACCCTTAATTTAAACTATGAAAATTCTTATCCCAGACCTATGCCAGTGTCCTTCACCTGCCAGAGGTCTTGTGATTAAATTATATTATAAAAATATGAATAAATGTGGCAGAATCTTCGTTAGAAAGGATTGAAAATATAATGATGTAAATAAGCAAAATGTATGTTACATCATAATCAAATATGTAGAGAGCCGAGTACAAACTTGTGTTGGATAAAAATATCAGCATCACATTCATTTTACATTGAAAAAAAGAACAGAATCAAAGAAAAAGAATGACAAAACAGCAACAGGAAGCTGTTGAAAAAGAGTGGACATTTAAAGGAGAGCTTCATATAAAAAAAAAAACATTGACTGAAAAACAACAAATCAGGAGCAAGAAGCTGCGGTAGCAAGTATTTCTGTCAAATTTCACATAAAAAAACACATTTTGCGAGGAACCCCTTACCAGACCTGAAAAACGGTGCATCCTTGTCCCCCGGGCATGATGTGAATTTCCTCGTCCGATTCGCTCATCTTCCCTAATCCTTTGAATGATGCTTTCCTTCCTCAAATTGACTACTTTTTGTGACATCGTCATGGTGATGGGAGCTGAAATTGACAGTTACAAATACACCCATGTCTAGCGCGGAAATTGGCAAGTTCAACTTTTCTTTAGAAGCCTCTCTCACTTTGTTGATCCATGAAGTAATCCTCATCATAGCCTTTGCAGAGAAACATCCCAAGTTAAATTGTCTTTAGGTATTTGTGAGTAGACCCATCACCATTTAGCCCTCCTACACCCTTGTCGCCCCCCCTTTGAACATCAATTAACTCTTTGGATCTGTCTGTCACACTAAATAAATTTGCTTTTCACAATATCTTTATATTTTGTCTATGCCCTGTGTATATCACCACATCCATCCTTCAATATTCAATTTGACTGATGTCTTTAACTAAAAATATCTATTATAAAAAAAAATACAATACCCTCAAATACTTGTGGTTGTCTTCGGTCTCCTAAAAGTATCACCAATCAGTCTGGGTTAAATCCTTGCACAATTCTATACCATGTCTCCCCCCTTCCAGTTATGTGGTCCCCTCCCCTCCCCTCCCCTGCCCTGCCCTGTAAGAATAAACTATGATTAACAAATTCTAGTCTTCCCTCCCCCTCTCATGAATTAATGCTTCCTCTTCCAGTCTTGTCTCATACCCCCTATCCCTCTTCCATTCATGATGTCTGCCTACCTGTTCTATGGCATCATCCATCTGCCCTTGAACGTGAAAGAGTTCACACAGAGTTATTCAGAACATGAATTCCTCCCCCCAAACCACCGAACCTCCAAAAGTGACACCTACAGACAGTAGCCCGGTGGCATAACCTTTGAGAAATCCCCCCTTTCAAGCTGGGAATCCTTGAGCACTATTTCCCCCCTCATTTTTATTTCATTCAAACATCTTAATAACTTGAAGGGAAATCTTTTGACATTTT